TGGGTGTTGAACAATAAGAACACATGGACACAGGGAGGGGAGCACTACACACTGGGGTCTGTTGGGGGGAAATACGGGAGGGACATCAGGGGGTGGGGAGTTGGGGAGGGATAACATGGGGAGAAATGCCAGATGTAGGTGATGGGGAAGAAGGCAGCAAATTACACTGCCACATGTGTACCTATGCAACAATCTTGCATGTTCTTCACATGTACCCCAAAACCTAAAATGCAATTTAAAAAAAGACATGAAAACAAACAAACAAAAGACTAAAATTATTTCAATTAAAATCAGAAATTATCCCAGCTACTCAGGAGGCTGAGGCAGGAGAATTGCCTGAGCCCAGGAGGCGGAGGTTGCGGTGAGCCGAGATCGCGCCATTGCACTCCAGCCTGGGTAACAAGAGCGAAACTCCGTCTCAAAAAAAAAAAAAAAAAAAAAAAAAAAAAAAATCAGAAATTAGATAGGGTTTCTTCCTATTTTAGTGTACCTATTCTTAGTCAATATTATTTGGAGATTCTAAAGCCAATTTTTGTCAGTGGGGATATACTGACATTTTGGGAAGACAACTCTTCATTGTGTGGCATTGTTGTACATTAAAGATGTTGCCATCTGTGTTGTCTAGGTCCTAGGAGAAGCACTCTGTAGACACAGAGTCAGTCGACAATGCCCTCCTTGTTTCCCTATAGGGAGGTATTGTCACCCCAGCTAAGAACTATCATTCTAGTGCAAATTTGGCAAAGTTCCTCCAAAAAAAGTCCAAATAATAAACACTTCAAGCTTTGCAGGACAGTCTTAGTCTGTCTCAATTGTAACCACTAAACTTTGACATTATTGAGTGAGATCTGTCATAGACAGCACATAAACAAATAAGAGGGCCTGTGTTCCAGTGTGACCATACTTATAGATGATAAAGAACCCTGAGTCACCAAGAGGTTAAGAAACTTGCCTGGGTTGATTCATCTAGAAAGTTTACATTTGGATTCAACACAAAGGCAGAGTGATTCCAGGGTCTGTGCTCTTATTCAGAATACTACTGATTTCAGAGATTTTAAATGAATTTCTCCTACTAAATGCCTTAAAGAGCTTCCCACACTCCAAACTCTGTCCCTCCTCATATGTCTGGTGTTGGCTGCTCCTTTTTGCAGTACAGGCCACCCAAGATTTGCTTCTGTGACAGCCTGGACCATACCCCATGCTTTACTATGCATGTCCCTAAGAGATGCTCTCCTGGTTGGCTCTAGCACACAGTCATCCTCGAAACCTCCCCAAATAAAAGATTCTATAAAACTGATCATTAGAATAGTTGTTCACTGATCTGTGACTGTTTTTATTTTTCACCCCTCAAGGTCTCTTTGTGGGACTGCATATCCACAATTGCTCATTGAGGTAAGCAAAAATAGAAAGGTCTTAGCTCATGGTATGGCACATGGAAAAGCTTTATAATACATGCTAATATTAATAAAATATCCAGAGTAGCAAGCAGATATATGTTCTTGATGAATGAATGTGTATAAATTCAGGAACATGCACCAAGCCTAAGAACAACCAAGTTAATCACAGTGGTGCAAATGAGCAAAGTTGTTACTGCTGATTCTGTTAGAGAATCTCAGCCTAAGCTTTAGAGTCCCTATTGTGCTTGCCTAGGAAAAGGGACCCATATCTAACCACCCAGGAGCCATACAGATGGAGCCAATTCCAGAAGACAGTTAATATCATGGTACAGATCAGTGGAGTCTCATGAGACTTTACTGCTCATTAGTGTCTAAGAGACAGCATAGTCATTGCCACCAGCTGTGGGGGCCAGGTTGCAATTCTTCTACAATAGTAGGCAGGTGGGGAATTTAGCAATAATATAAAAGGGCAAGCTACCAAAGTTAGGAAAATAAAAAATATACTTATCTCACAATGCTTTTCAGGAGGAACCAGAATATGCTGCTTCCAACATTTTCTGGTTTCTGTAGGGATATGCTTTTTCCACCACAGATATTAAACATATTAGGGGAATTTAGGAATAAATGTTTGTAACAATTGCTCATTCAATTATGTTTAACAAATTTTGTAGATTCTTTTCTCTTTCAATAGTTTATTAAAACAGAATTGACTTGTTTTTTCATTGTATTAACAAAACCCAAAACCGTGATGGATTAAAGAAAAACTTCTATTAAGAACTTACAGATGTGAAATATAACAATGTTTGTGATAAATATACATTTCAAATCTCTAATGCTTTCATTCAATATGACTAAAACTATTAAGGAAAATGTAATTCTAATATTATTTTTTCATCCATCTTTGTCATCATTTTTTATCCTCTTATGAAATGATTTCTTCTTAATAAGCACAAAGCAAATATAATAAGGTTGTGGTAGGTAAATAACTTTGCCTAATATCGTTAATTACTAACAGCTCAATTATACTGTGAAGTGCCTATAATTGTCATGAAGCTTCAAAAATCCTGATCATGGATTCTATTATGTATACAATTCATTTAAATTACATTAATTATATGGATTTTTAATGAAGCAGAGACTACTTTCAATTTTCACAAGTAGAGACAATGATCAAAATATTTATGTGCATATTACATACTTTATCTGTTGACATTCATAAAATAATTCATTTACTCAGACAATATTAGCACCTTTACATGGGAAGGGGATAAAAGGCAAACCTCATTTCTCATGTTTGGATTTGTTTTAAGATTACATGATCCCTAGATGGTTCTTTTATGTAATATCTAGCAGAATTTGAGCACTAGTTTTTGGAAAGCAAAATATTTAAACTTTTTTTTTAACAGTAATTTATATTAGCTGAAAATGGTCTTTAAGCCATGGTTGTTAATTGCATTTGCAAGTCCAGATTCCAGAGCCTGACTCTCTGAGTTCATACAAAGATACTCAGGCGAGTGATTTTAACACTGTGTACCTCAGTTTAGTAATCCGTAGAATAGGAATAATAATATGTTTAATTCAGAATTTAAAGAGTGATATGTCAAGTGTTTAAAGGAATAATTAACCGTTAGTTAATGCTATGTAAGTATTTTCCAGTATTTATTTTCCTGCTTCGGAAGAGCTCAATTTAACATGAATATTAGTGATGCCCAATTTCACATACACAAAATGGATAGGGAAAGCTTTTTATCATTAATATTCCATGAAAGCAGTGTAAGAAAACCTTGTGGGGTAAATTGTAAATCCCCAAATACGGATTTTCCTTGTGATGTGGCTTTGAATAGTGTGGCAGTGAAAAACTTTTTTCATTCATGTTTTTATTAAAACCTGTTAGACCAATGACCTAACTTCAACCATATGGAAACATGCAAAAACTAAGGCAGCCAAAAATAGAAGTTTTTAGATCAAGGTAAGATTGATGCTAGGAGAATCCTTGGCAGAGGGTGAAGCAGAAATATAAATTAAAACCAGGTGTCACTTTTCAGATAATCCTCTTTCTTCTCTCCATGCCTCCCCTCCTTCTTCTCTCTTCCCTGCCAGGACTGGCCAGGGCATACTGAACTCAGTACTCCAACAAGGGAACTTGCATGGGAACAGACATCCTATTATGAGGGCTCTAAGGAAAGTGCAAGGCTAGGCGCGGTGGCTTACACCTGTAATCCCAGCACTTTGGGAGGCTGGGGCAGGAGCATCACTTGAGCCCAGGAGGTGAAGACCAGCCTGGACAACATAGGGGAGACCCTGTCTCTACAAAAAATTTAAAAATCAGCCAGGCATGGTAATGTGCACCTGTAATCTCAGCTACTTGGGAGTCTGAGGCAGGAAAATCACTTGAGCCGAGGAGGTTGAGGCTGCAGTGAGCCTTGATAGTGCCACTGCACTCCAGCCTAGGTAACAGAGAGAGACCCTGTTTCTAAAACAAAACAAACAAAACAAACCCAAACAACAACAGCAAAGAAAATATACTTGCTTTCTTTTCATCACTTAAACAAAACCAGAATATTCCACCCTAAATTCATGTGTGCAGGCTATTTGTTATCCCGGAATTTGGATTATAACACAATGAGGATTTCTGGAGCATGTTCAGTGAGTAGCTGCTTGTTTGTTATTAGAAATTCTACCCTGCTGAAGCCTTTATAACAGAGGATCTTTTAGACAGTATCGGCACCAGTTTTAAAATTCTTTTGTAACAGTACATCATGGTGGACAGCTTAGAGAGTGATAGAAATAAGAGTGAGGAGAGGATAATGAAACTGTTAGAATGCTGGGTTCAGTATACCCTGGGCAGTCCTGGGGAGGTGGAGAGAGTGTATAGAAAGGAAGAACTAAGTGTGCGCAGGTTATTGTGATGATACTTATTATATTCATATTGTGATGATACTTATTATATTCATATGTATATAGCTTGAGAGTCTAAGATTTTATTCTGTATCTCTTAGTCATCCAGAATTAGAATGTCTTTAATCTCTTCTTCTTGTAAATGTTCTTTGGAATCTTGCGAACAATTTGCACTTTTCTAGAGTGACTGAACTTGATTGCTTCAAATCTGATCTTATTTCAAGGAATAGACTGACCTGCCCTTAAGGTATATCCAAGTAAGCTTGATATTATTCTTTCTGCTAAGGTCTTCCTGGTAAACCTCCCTGAAACTTAAAACCACTAATCTGGTTAATTAGTGATGGAAAATATACTATGAAAAGTATTTGCTTCTTAGTTGCTAATTCTATATTTTATTTATATGTATATTTTTATAGGCCATATACATTTTTAAAATCCAGGAAATAAAGAAACCTCATTTGAAACAATTCTTTAAAAAATTTATCCTCAAGTGGTGCTGATTTCACTCTACCTGAGTCTCCCACTTTCCTGGCCCACTCTCCAGAAGTGCCAATGAATTGTGTTGCCCAAGAGGCAGCCAGTGAAGAATAAACAAGGAGAAACAGATGACTCAATAAGCCAATGATAACATATTCAAGCCTTGATTAACTGAGTGTTGACCTGTGGTTTGAAAGTTACAAAAATGCTAAGATATGATTTTTCTTTTAGGTGGGAAATGAAGAAGGAGGAAACACTAGAAGAGGAAGAAAAAGCAATGCTGGAGCACTTAAAACAAATTTGCACCATACAGAGCTCTTCTGCCTCAGATAACACAGAGGAACAGTAATCTGCAGAAAACAGCAACAGCTTTATTTTAGGAAACAGTCACATGTAATGGAGTAGGATTTTTACTAGAGTCAGAATGAACCTCATGTGTGTTGTTAAGCATGAAACCAATGACCGAGTAATCTCTGTACTGAAAAGGAATACAGCACATAAAGAATAAGGTGCTACGTTTTTTTTTAATTTTAAAAATAATTTCAAATGTTTTTTCTTTCCCCAATCTTTCTCTTTATATGATATAACTGCTGCCATCTCGTGTTCCCTTTGAATTATTTTTTTTTCTCCTTTCAGTCTTGAAGTATCTATGACAACAGGCAAAAATGTTTTTTAAGGATTTTTTAGATGCAGCATTTGGATGTTAAGTTGAGTGGAGTCACATAGCCCCCTGAGGTCATCTGAAATTTTTAATTTAATTTTGTTGTAGCTGTAGCCCAAGTCCCACTCTTAATTGCCGTTACTACCCACAACTGTGCCAGCTTTCCTCATTCCGTTTATCTAATTAAAGCCAAAAAAAAAAAAAAAAGCATTCTCCTGATCTATAAGTTTAGTCACACCTCTGCTTGTAGTGGTTTTCAGACTTCCTCCTAAATCAGGTTCAACCTGCTACTCAAGGTCCTATACGAAATGGCTCCATGTTCAGATAATTGCTTGCCATACTCTTGGTTCAAGCCACAGACTTGCCATTTTTTCCAACCAGAATCCATCTTCCTCCCAAAATTAGTCACAAAACTCATTCTAGCAGTCTTTATCCAAAAGCTCATTATCTCATTATCCATAATCGGTTACTTAAAAAAATTTCCATTATATTGATACACACACACACACACACACACACACACGCACACGAATAAGAAAACAGAACATAGTCTAGTACCCTCTCTGCCAAGGACAATTATAGATATTTATTATATCCTTCCTATCAGTGCCTGACATTAGATTATGAAGACCTTGAAGATCTTACGATATAATGTGACGTCTCCATTTATGACTCCCTGTATGCCTGCCACATTGTTACTTCATCAAGTGGGCAATTAGTGAACACAATTGATTAAATAGCTGCTAGTGAAGGAAAAAGACAACAAAAAGAATTACATAGTTGAGCAGTCTGAGAACATCTGGCAGAAGCCGTGTGAGTGTGTGTGTGTGTGTGTGTGTGTGTGTGTGTGTGTGTGTATTCATTTTAGAAAGAGGGTCTTGCTCTGTTAATTAGAATGTAGTGCAGTGGCATGATCATAGTTCATTGTAACCTGGAACTCATGGGCTCAAGCAATACTTCCGCCTCAGCCTCCTGAGTAGCTAGAACTACATGTGCATGCCACCATACTTGGTTAATTTTAAAAAAGATTTTTTTAAAGATAGGATCTCACTATGTTACCCAGGCTGGACTTGAATTCCTTGCCTACCTAGAACTACTGTTATGTGTCACCACACCTGATTAATTAAAAAAAATTTTTTTGTAGCGATGGAGTCTCACTGTGTTGCACAGGCTGGACTTGAACTCCTTGCCTCAAGTGATGCTCCCACCTCTGTCTCTCAAAGCACTAGAATTATAGGCGTCAGCCACCACACCAGGCCCTGAAGCCTTACATCATGGGCTATTTTAGACCATATGACATCAAACTTCATGGTTTATGTTCTCAGATATATAATAAATTGTCCATACTCCCACATTCTGTGACTTTTATAAAATATGTGTAGGCTACATGATTTCCAAAGGAAAGTACTCATGCATTTTTCAAAGAGTAAAAGCTTGGGGTGCAGAGGAGGCCACATTAGGAAATCTCTTACATTTTTTCTTTAAATAAAGATACATAAATGGCCATGTAGACAGCTGCCTGCCAAATAACACATTTTATTTTTAAAAACTGTACTTTAGTTGGCCAGTATAATCATAAACCAAGTGTTTTTAAGATTTGGTTGAAGTAATTTGTAAAAATTCTCTGAAGACCATTTAGAAAATGGTAAGAAAATTTTATGAGAACTGGACATTCCATCAAATCTGATCTTTAAACAGGTTATTATAACAATCAACATAAGGCAACAGTTTACTTTATTCCTTCAACTAAGTGGTGGTCTGTGTACTAAATCTACATAACTGTGTTTTATTGGATCAAATGCAAAATGGAAAGTTTAAAATTCCAATAAACCAAATATAACAATCTTATAAAGTTATAGGATTTCACATTTAGATAATCTTCTAACATATCTAAAGGTCATCTTTTAAAGCTATTATTGAATTAATATATTCCTATACTAATTCTGGAAGTAATTTTGTTCCTCCAGAAAAAAAATCTTTTCTGTGGTTCCTTTTTGAAAGGAAAGGAGTATAGTAAGGGGATAATAGGATGAGTTTAAAGGAAGAGAAAAGTAGTAGAGAAAGAGGGCTTGCAGTTGAACTCTATTCTGTGCTTGTTCAGTGACATTATTATAGGCATAAGTGCAATAAAGTTTTTAATTGAGAGTGTTAAATGACAAGTCACTTGACTTTTTAGTCAATACTTTCTTTAAAGTATAGTAAGAAGTGGTATTTCAAAACAATTTTTGTTTCTCACATTTATTTTGCATTTGTATAAGTTAAGAACAGGAATGAAGACTAACAGTTTATATCTCCCCATATGCTTATTACCAAAATATTATCTTCCTATAAAGTATTAGCTTCCTTCTGTGTTCTGTTTAGTTAAGTGTATTTATTTACATTCTTGTGAAACAGATCTCCAGAACTTTGTCATCTTATAAATCTGAAACTCTATATCCATTGAACAACAATTCCCTTTTTCCTCCTGCCCCATCCCCTGGTAAATTATAATTTCTGTTTCTCTGCATTTGACTACCTTAGATACCTCACATAAGTGGAATCACACATTATTTGTCTTTTAGGGAGTGGCTTATTTCACTTAGCATAATGTGATCAAGGTTCATCCATGTTGCAGCATATGACAGAAATTCATTTCTTTTTAAGGCTGAATACAGCAATCCTGGAACTAAAGAATTAGTTCAGTGAAATATAAAATGTATCTAAAAGTTCAATAGACTACATCAAGCAGAAGAAAGAATCTCAGAAACTGAAGAGAGGAATATTGAAATAATTCAGTCAGATAAAAATAAAGATGAAAGAATAAGAAGAAATGAGCAAAGCCTATATGACATATAGGATACCATTAAATAGTTTGTGTCCCAGAAGGCAAAAATAAAACAAAAAGATTAGAAAACCTATTTAACAAAATAATGGATAAAAACTTCCAAAGTCTAGCAAGACATTTAGATATTCTGATATAGGAACACCAAAGATCCTTTAATAAATGCAATTCAAAAAGGTCTTCTCCATAGTACATTACAATCAAAATGTCAAAAGTCAAAGACAAAGAGAGCATTGTAAAAATGGCAAGAGAAAAGCATTCAGTCACTTTTAAAGGAAACTCAATCAGACTAACAGTGGAATTCTCAATGCAAACCTTAAGAGAATAGAATGATACATTCAAAATGCTGAATGGTGTATACTACACTTGAAAAGTTAACCTTTATAAGAGAAGGAGAAATCAAGTCGTTTTCAGACAGCAAAACTAAAGAAATTCTTAATCCCTAGAATTCTCCTACAAGAAATGCTTGTAGAATATCTGCCAGAAACAAAAGAACAATATCCACCCAGAAACAAAAGAATATCTACCAACATCATCATCACAGGTCATTAAAGAAATGCAAATCAAAACTACAATGAGATACTATCTCATGCCAGTTAGAATAGCTATTATTAAAAAGTCAGGAAACAAAAGATGCTGGAAAAGATGTGGAGAAATAGGAAGACTTTTACACTGTTGGTGGGAGCATAAATTAGTTCAACCATTGTGGAAAACAGTGTGGCAATTCCTCAAGGATCTAGAACCAGAACTACCATTTGACCCAGCAATCCCATTACTGGGTCAAATCCCATTACTGGGTGTATACACAAAGATTATATATCATTCTACTATAAAGACACATGCACATGTATGTTTATTGCAGCACTGTTCATAATAGCAAAGTCTTGGAATCAACCCAAATGCCCATCAATGATAGAATGAATTTAAAAAATTTGGCACATATACACCATGGAATACTATGCAGCCATAAAAAAGGATGAGTTCATGTCCTTTAGAGGGACATGGATGAAGCCTGAAACCATCATTCTCAGCAAACTAACACAGGAACGGAAAACCAAACACCGCCTCTATTCACTCATAAGTGGGAGTTGAACAGTGAGAACACAACCACACAGAGAAGGGAACATCACACACTGGGGCCTGTCAGAGTGTGGAGATTAGGGGAGAAATAGCACCAGGAGAAATACTTAACGTAGATGATGGGTTGATGGGTGCAGCAAACCACCATGGCATGTGTATACCTATGTAACAAACCTCACATTCTGCACATGTATCCCAGAATTTAAAATGTAATAATAATAATAAAAAAACAACAACAAAAAAAACAAGAGTGACATCTTGTCATTTGCATCAACATGGATGGAACTGGAAATCTGTGTTAAGTGGAATAAGATAGGCACAGAAAGACAAATATTGCATGTTCTCACATATATGTGGGAGCTTAAAAAGTTGATATCATGTAGGTAGAGAGGAGAGTGATAGACAACAGAGACTGGGAAGGTTATGTGGATGGGAAGAGGGAGTGAAGAGAGGTTGGCGAATCCTTAGATACAGTTAGGTAGAAGGTATATGCTCTAAAGCCAGATAGCACAGTAGGTGACTATAGTTAGCAATAATGTATTATATACTTCAAAGTAGCTAGAAAGAGAGGATGTTCATTGTTTCCAACACATAGAAATGACAAATACTCAAGGAGATGGAAACTCTAAATACCCTGAGTTGATTCTTATACATTCTACATTCTATGCATATAACAAAATATCACATGTACCCCATAAATATGTAAAATATTATGTATGAATATTAAATTAAATTTTTAGAAAACACTTGAGGGATTCTGGGCCAAGATGGCTGAGAGGAGGCAACTCCGGAGTGCAGCTCCCAGCAAGTGAGATGCAAATGGCTAGAGGACTCTATGGTTCTAAGCAAGATGCCAGGTTCATTTTGGTGGGACTGGTAGGACAGTGAAAATAGCTAAGGGAAGGCAAGTCAAAGCAAGGCGAGAGCAGCCTAGGGAGGGCAAACTGAGACAGGGCGGGGTGCATCCACACCCGGAAAGTGCAGCTGGCTTGGAGGGTCAGGGACGTCACCCCCTTAGTGCTCTGATTCAGATCTTGTGCTTCCCTCATCCCTCCTGTAACCCACTGTCCACGAGAGCCCCACCAGACTAAGGGGCACTGTGGAATATTGATGCAAATCTGAGTAACAGCTCCAGCCCACCTGGAGCCAAAAGTTGTTGGCATGGACCTGGGCAGACATTTGGACTAATGCCAGTGGGACGGAACTACCCATCCCACAGCCAGAAGCAGAGTTGAAAGCAGGGAAACAGGCCATACAGCCTAGCAGGTCCCACCCCCACAAAACCCAACAAACTGAACCCCACATGCTAGAGAATTTTGCAGTGAATACACTAGTTTGACCCCAACCAGGAATATTGAGCTTGGGGAAGAAAAGGCACCTGCCATTGGGAAGGAGGGGCTAATCTCACCTGCATAAACAAACTTCAGGGGAAGACCACCCAGCAACCTGACTGAATCCAAGGCAGCCTAGCAGTGCCACTACAGGCAAAACAAAACAAAACAAAACAGAAAATCTCATACAGGAGATATAGTGCCAACCTCAACAGAAAGGATGACCACTCAGAGATTCCTCCCAAAATCACCAACTTCAAAAATCAAAGGGAGATAAATTCACAAAGATGGGAAGAAACCAGTGCAAAAAGGATGAAATCATCAAAGACCAGAACACCTTTTCTCTTCCCATGGATCACAACTCCTCACCACCAAGAGAACTAAACAAGACAGAACGAATTTGATGAATTGACAGAATCAGGCTTTAGAAGGTGGGTAATTACAAACTTTTCTAAGTTAAAAGACCATTTTCTAAACCCAATGCAAAGTAACTAAGAACCTTGAAAAAAAGGTTAGGATGAAATGCTAACTAGAATAACCAGCTTAGAGAAGAACATAAA